GGCAGCTATTTACTATATCTGGTTACCACTGTTCCCAGAAAGGCAAAGGATAATTATACTAGAACCACAGTCTTTTGTGCTGCTTTGTAATACTTCATCAGGATAGACTTTTCAAAATAATATTTTTTAAAAAGTTTTAAAAGAAGTTAAAAGTTATTTATTAGTCAAAAGAAAAACAAATTTTTGTAAACAAAAACAAATATTCGTAAATAATGAAGGGTTTGTCATTACCTATTCTAAACGTTTTTTATAATTTAAGATTAGTCTGTGGTCATAATTAATTCTTAATTTAAGTATCATTGATTTTTCAGCTAATTCCATTTCATTTCTTACTAGGTTTATCATTGCTCTAAGTACTATAAAATAATTAGCAGTCAGTACTCATATTTCTGTAATCGATTATAAGCTACAATAAAATTTAAGACCAGTGATGAACCACATAAAAATAGATTTTTTAACATTTAAACAAGATTAAAGAATTTTGAGATGTTTTTGTTTATGGATTTTTTTTTTTGAAATGGCTTTAGACTTTTGCACGTTGACACAGAATGTTTTTTGCTAGGAGTTAGTTTGAGCTGGTTTGAAGTTGATAAAACTAAAAAGCATATTGGCCCTTGCTAGTTAGTGAATAAAGATATATATAACAAAAGCACCCAGTATTTAAGCTTCTTGGTTGATCTACCAAAAATAATTTTTCTAATGGTATTCAGTTTGAAGCCTCCTTAGTCCTGTGCAGTGGGATTGTTCTCTTTGTATTTTACTTAGAGAAAAAGTGGTTCTCACACAGGTTGGAAGGGAGGATGGCCCTAGAGTCTGGAAAGAAATTTCATGGTCTGGACTTTGGTGACTTCCAGGGAGTGAGAATAAAAAAGGACCCCTTCTACCTATAGGTATCCTTTTCACATAGAGGCTTTTTTTTTTTTTTTTTAACTACCTTTTTTTGTTAACAGTCTTACAGGTAGGTTTTAGTTCTGCATTGTTCAAGTGTACAGAAGTTTCATTTCTTTTAAATGATGGTATGATATTACAATTTTTCCTAAATTTATTTGACTGTGGTACCCTTTTTGTCTACTCTTGTTAACACCAAGGGCATGGTTATATGTAGCACTATTTAAAAAATTCTAGTCTAGATTAAGAGACAGAATAACAGACCAGTTGGAAGGGGCTGCTTACTGATATGAAAGGAAAGAACTTTTGCTACTTTGTGTTATTTTCCTGATTGAAATGGTAAAACATTTCTCAAATACACAGGTTTAATAAATTGGATTCAAGTTAGTTCACTTTCTGTGACTTCTTAACCATCAGCTTTAAATAGATTTGATTTTGGTAGCCATCTTTTGGTTTTGTTTTGGCTAAAATAACTCATTAAAAATCGGTGATCAGTGTATAGAACACAACTCTCTAATTGAACTTTCTTCAGTATTGGGAATGTTCCATATCTGTGTTGTCCTATATGACAGCCAGTGGCCACAGATGGTTATTGAGCTTTTAAAATGTGCTAAGTGTGACTAAGGAACTTTAGTTTTTTTAAGTCCTCATTAATTTAAATCTAAATAGGCACATGTGGCTAGTAGCTGTTGTATTGGACAATGCAATCTATAGAATATATTTGTAGAATAGAGTATTTTTCATACTTTTAAATTGATGGAATTAAAACTACTCTTTGGGGGATATTTTTGGAAAGTTAAGACTCTGATGACTATACTTAAATTATATGCATTCTATAGTCACATGATTGAGAGAACTCAGTCATTTTTCTCTTTTAAAAACTATAGTCATTTTCACTTAAGGAAATATGTTCTGAGAAATGCATCATTAGGCATTCATCGCTGTGCAAACATCATAGGGTGTACTTACACAAACCTAGATGGTGTAGCCTACTACACACAGGCTATGCAGCATAGCCCATTGCTCCTAGCCTACAAAACTATACAACATGTTACTGTACTGCAGACTGTAGGCAGTTGTTACATAGTGGTATTTGAATATCTAAACATAGAAAAGGTACAGTACAAATATATAAAGGTAGAAGATGGTATACCTGTATAGGGCATATACTATGGCATGGAGTTTGCAGGACTGGAACCTACTCTGATTGGGTCAATAAGTCATGAGTGAATGTGAAGGCTTAGGGTATTACCGTAAACTACTATAGACTTTCTAAGCACTGCACATTTGGGTTACACTAAGTTTATAACAAATATTTTTCTTCCTTCAATAATGTTAACCTTAGCTTACCATAACATTTTTACTTTATAAACTTAATTTTTTTAGCTTTTTGATCTTTTCATAATAACGCTTAGCTTAAAACACAAACATAGGCCGGGCGCGGTGGCTCAAGCCTGTAATCCCAGCACTTTGGGAGGCCGAGGCGGGCGGATCACGAGGTCAGGAGATCGAGACCATCCTGGCTAATATGGTGAAACCCCATCTCTACTAAAAATACAAAAAACTAGCCGGGCGTGGTGGCGGGCGCCTATAGTCTCAGCTACTCAGGAGGCTGAGGCGGGAGAATGGCGTGAACCCGGGAGGCGGAGCTTGCAGTGAGCTGAGATCCGGCCACTGCACTCCAGCCTGGGAGCACAGCGAGACTCCGTCTCAAAAAAAAAAAAAAACACACACAAACATATTGTACAACCATACCAAACTATTCTTACTCTCTAAGCTTTTATTAATTTTTTTGTTTTTGTTGTTTTTTTGCTTTTTAGACTTTTTTTAAAAAGCTTAGACAAATATACACATTAGCCTAGGCCCACACAAGATGAGGATCATCAAGACATCGCTAGGTAATAGGAATTTTTCAGCTTCATTATAATTTTTTGGGACCACTGTTATGTATGCCATCCATCATTGACCAAAACATTGTTATGTTCACATAACTGTACATATACTACTAACTTCTTTTGTAGGTAATTCTTTTGTGTAAATAATAGTACACTCTGAAATAATTGAATAGGTTTTCACATTCATTTTTAAGAAAAGTATAATAGGAAAAAAGAGGATAATCTGTGAGATAACTCAGATTTAGTTCCTTTTGCCATTGACATGCTTGCCAGTATTGAAGCAGTTGCAGAATTTTTGTGGCTATTAATGTATCTGTAAGTTGGAGATACAGTATATGTAAATGTCCTTTGAAAAAAGAGCTGTACAAAATGAACATAATTCACATTATAAATGTTGATTTTGAATAATTATAGAAAATGCTAAAAATTTGACTCATTTTCTGTGAATGTACTTTGAGTTATAAAGATTATGATCCTTAATCTTTTCATTTTTGATAAGAGTAATGCTCAGTTGGTAGACAGGTAAAAACATTAAGCTATATAAATTATCAAAATAAAAGTGACTAAACAATTGAATAATTTTGGAATAAATTTATTATTAAGGATACAATTATTTGGAGGCTGAATTATTTTCAGAGTAGGTCATCTAGGACGGAACATAGGAAATTCTAGTAAGTGTTTTATAAGCAACTTATTTAATCTATTGATACCTCTTATCCATGGACTTGCTGATTGAATAAAATATTTTACTCTGTCAATTGACTTAACAGCTTCATTTTACTTGTGAACTGCCCAAGCAATTTATTTTTGTATTTATTCAGCTAGCATTCATTTGTCAGTGGTTTTTGAATATCATCACTTTTAAGACGTGTGATTATTTTAAAAGTTTTCCACAAGCATTTTGAACTGTATAAAATAGAACTGATGACTTCTTCATAAGAACTTATATATTATGTAGTCACAAGTATAGCCTTAACATAAATGATACCTTTTTCAGCATGTAATGAAAAAGCATGTAATGAAAAATAATTTTTAAAGCTGTATATAGTTACTGTGACAATCATTGCCCTTTAAGTAGTGGTTTTTAATCCTTTCTAATTTACATTACACAAGAGTCTTCTCATATATTAAAGATGATATTTTAATACTGTTTTTTTTTTTTTTTGAGACGGAGTTTCACTCTTGTCGCCTGGGCTGGAGTGCAATGGTGTCATCTTGGCTCACTGCAGCCTCTGCCTCCCGGGTTCAAGTGATTCTTCTGTCTCAGCCTCCCAAGTAGCTGAGATTATAGGCGCCCGCCACCAGGCCCAACTAATTTTTTAGAGATGGGGTTTCACCATGTTGGTCAGGCTGGTCTCAAACTCCTGACCTCAGGTGATCCACCCGCCTTGGCCTCTGAAATGTTGGGATTACAGGCGTGAGCCGCCGTGCCCAGCCTATTGTTTAATTTTTTAATACGACTATTAAATGGTCTTACCACTGTATGGCATTTTTTGGGATTTAGTGGTTTGTCTTACATTTGAGGTATATATTAATGGCTAAATAAATGAAAATCATATTTTAGATAAAAATGATTATGTTTTCTGACATACAGTTCAGGTTTTTTAGAAGATGTATTACTTTAGTTTATATTCTGTTTATTTAGCTTATATTTTACTATTTTTAATCTTTTTCACCTTTATAATAACTTTGTTTTTTATATAAAGATGCCTGATATTTTTCAAAAAAAATACTAATACTTACTCTTCCCCAAGTACAGAAAAAGTAGTACAGTCAGCCCTCTAGCTAAATATTTGAATATAGGTCATTCTTAATACTACTGTTTTTGAGATACTTTCATTTTACCTCTATCAAATTTAGTGGAAATACCATTTCATATTTAGTTTGGCTGTTCTCTTTAAAAACACCAATACACGTATCTTTACAATTCCCTTTGAATTTTATAATTAAGTTATTAATGTTATTGATGTGAAGATATCAAACGTTTTAATTAAGATGACTCAGAGACATCTTTGAGCATATATAATTCAGAATATGGCAGAATATTTTAAACATTTCACAGGGTCACGAAACTCTTAGCATTTAAAGGATTTCAGTATAGTTCTCTAACTGGTATGTACTAAGAATGTGAAATATGTTTCAGTTGCTTGAGATTAGGAAGTAGAGATAAAATTTCATATATATATATATATATTTTTTTTTTTTTTTTTTTTAAAGACACCTAGCTGTTGGGCAGAAGAGGGTGCAGAAAAGAGGTCACATCAGCGTTCTGCATCATGGGGGAGTGCTGATCAACTAAAAGAGGTAAGTTATTTTTGTTTTCCGTCTGTAACCTGTTTTGGTCCTAGGAGGTTACCTTAGTATTTCCTGAATGTAATGACACTTTTAAAATTTATCCTAACCTTACCTCTTTCAGTAAGGTTAGGACAAATTCTAGGGTAAGGTTAGGATAAATTCTAAGGTATTTGTAAGGTTAGTACAAATTCTAGTTAGGTAGGTTGCATTCTACATTTTGGTGAACAAGTCTAAATTTACCTTATTTGTGTATTTTGTGTCATTTCTAAATATTTGTTATGCTCTCAGTCAGCTTTAGCCTTTCCAGAGTGAAGTCTAATTTTATGTAATACTCTCTATCTTGTTCATTTTAGTTATCTTTTGTTCTCTCTTCAGCTTGCTTGTTTTTGAGTTGTAGCAACCAGAGCTATAGGCTGTATAGCTTTGTACAATGGTAAGACAGTGTTTTCTGTTTCTAATAGCTTTTTTTTTTTTTGAGACAGAGTCTTGCTTTGTCGCCTAGGCTGGAATGCAGTGGCGCCATCTCGGCTTACTGCAAGCTCCACCTCCCAGGTGCATGCCATTCTCTTGCCTCAGCCTCGCAAGTAGCTGGGACTATAGGCACCCACCACCACACCTGGCTAATTTTTTGTATTTTTAGTAGAGACGGGGTTTCACCATGATAGCCAGGATGGTCGTGATCTTCTGACCTCGTGATCCGCCCTCCTCGGCCTCCCAAAGTGCTGGGATTACAGGCGCGATCTAATAGCTTTTTAATGACATCCAATATATTGTTGCCCTTTGGAACCCAACAGTAATCCATGCTTCTTAGAAACTTAGTTTCTATGACCCATTTCCTTATTTATTATGAATAACCTGAGGTGTCATATCTTTATGTATATTTTGGATTATTTTTCCTGATAGTTTTATCCATCTAAATTCTTTTCTATTTGTTTTTATAAATTACAGAAACTTAGAATTGAAAGGTCATCTAGTCTATCTTCTACATAAATGCTCCTTAAAAGATGGTCGTCGAATCTCTGTTATTCTTTTTTTTTTGTTTCAAGGTGGAATCTTACTCTGTCACCCAGGCTGGAGTACAGTGGCACAGTCTTGGCTCACTGCAGCTTCTGCCTCCCGGGTTCAAGTGATTCTCCTGCCTCAGCCACCCAAGTAGCTGGGATTACAGATATGTGCCACCATGCCCAGCTAATTTTTGCATTTTTAGTAGAGACGGGGTTTTGCCATATTGGCCAGGCTAGTCTCAAACTCCTGACCTCAAGCAATCTGCCCACCTCGGCCTCCCAACGTGCTGGGACTACAAGCATGAGCCACCACACCAGGCCATGATCATTCTTAGTGAGGGAAACTCATTACTTTATAAAAAGAGCCAGTTTAATTGTTTTAAGTTGTTAAATATGTTCTCTTATATATTGAACTTAGAATTAGATAACTTAGTTTTGACTTTGTCCTCTGGATCAATATTGAGTAAGTCTAAGTCTTTTAAAGGCCAACAGTAAGTCATTTTTTTTCTCCAGAGTAAACATTTACATTTCTCTCAAAATTTTTTTCATATACCAGTTTCCAGGCCTCTTTGTATAATTTTTATATACTATAGGTTATCAGTATCCCTTACATACTATGGTGTCTGGACTGCATAGATATAGTTTATTAGCATGATTTTACTTATGATTGTATTACATTTTAGCAGCTTCTTTATAGTATGGGTGTAGAGACCTACTCAGCTCCTTCTGCCTACCGTACATGTATGCAAAAAATCAGTTTTCTGCAGCAGCAACAAAAAATAAATGAAACTAAGTCTAATATCTCTAGCTTACTGTAACTACATATCTGTATAGCATATGAATAACAAAAAAGTGAACTTGTATTTTTATCTCAGAGTTAAATATAATCTTAGTGTTATCACCAAGATTTACTAATCATTAGACTGAATGGAAGTAATGCCAGATATTAATTTGAATCCATAGGAAGAATTGAAGAGTGCTGGGAATAGTAAATATGTGGGTAAATATGAAAGAGTTTTTAATGACTCTTTTGTTGGATTTTTAATTGAACGATAACTGGATTTCAGTAATAGATGACATACACTATTAAAAAGGAATGACTGATTCAGTGAGAACATTTGTTTTCCACAGAAGGCAACCATAAAGCTGGACAAAACTGTCAAAATAACTGTTTGAGTACTTTACCAAACAAACAGAGAAGCTTTATTCATGAAAACTAATGAACATAGGGTAGGAATAGCACAAATTCGTGATCTGGTGCTACTCCTTTTCTCCTTTTCCTTCTCCTTAGCTCTGTTGCATAGCATTTCAATCAGGATGAAAACCAGCAGCTTTGCTTCCACTGTTGTAGAGAAATCGCTTGCTTTGGAGCATTGTAGGTTAAAATGGTGATCTTTGTGGCAAGTAAAGAGAGAGGGCCAAGAACTTTATTAGTCTAAGATTGTAGTCCAGTTTGAGGCCAGCAGTAGGCTCATGGACTAGTTGAGTTTAATAGAGAGTTTTGAGAGGTAAGACAGTAGTGGGAGCTTGATAAATTCCCCACATATCCCAGGTTGACTGGAGGCTGTGGACATGCACAGCAGAGAACAGAGTGGGCCCAGGCCACTGATGTGTTCCTGGCCAGAACAGCCTAGGAACAGGTGCAGAGGAAATTCAAGTGGGCTACTGGAAATAAAACCAGGGAAGACTTGTAAAAAACCTGAATTTCAAATGCTGTCCTCTGTCCACAAACAAATCCTATCAGTAGGAAATAGAACCCTTATTGGCTTGAGATGTTTGAACAGAATGTACAGTCTTTGGCCAAGCACTATGGTGAACACTGGAGACCTGCTTTAAAAGGTCTTAAGAAGTCAGGCAAAAAATAATAGAGACATAAGCAGTCACACATTGTGGGAGAAACAGACTTGTAGACCATTAAGAAACAACAAGTAGACAACAACTCTCGGGAGAAAATCAGAATCTGGAGTTGCTATATTATCTGAAATATCCAGCATTCAGCAAAAAGTTTTGAGATATACAAAGAAACAAAAAAGTATGGCACATAGGAAAATAAAGCAGTCAGTAGAAACTGTATGTGTTTTTATAATAAAGTATGGCACATACTCAGGAAAATAAAGCAGTCAATAGAAACTGTATGTGTTTTTATAATGTATTTAGCAGACAAAGACATCAAAGAAATAAAGGAAACCATGATTAAATGATTAAAGGGAAAGTAGGACTACAAGGACTCAATGAATAAAGAATTTTCACAAGCCAGACATGGTGGCTTACGCCTGTAATCCCAGCACTTTGGGAGGCCAAGGTGGGTGGATCATGAAGTCAGAAGATTGAGGCCATCCTGGCTAACACGGTGAAACCCCGTGGCACACGCCTGTAGTCCCAGCTACTCAGGAGACTGAGGCAGGAGAATTGCTTGAACCTGGGAGGCAGAGATTGCAGTGAGCCGAGATCGCACCACTGCACTCCACCCTGGGTGATAGAGCGAGATGCCGTCTCAAAAATAATAAAAAATAAAAAAAGTATTTTCACAAGGAGATAGTCATTCTAAAAAAGAAGGAAACAAAATTCTAGAGTTAAAAAAGGCAATCACTAAATATAAAAATGTTAGATGGGCTTGACAATAGATTTGCGATGGCAGAAGAATCGATGAATTAGAAGATGTCAATAGAATTTATATACTCTGAAGAATGGAAAGGAAAAAAAAGATTAAAATTGAAGGAGAGAAGAGACAGAGCAGAGAAAAAGAATCAAAGAAATACTGACAGAGAACTTTCCAAATTTGATGAAAAACAATCTACAGATTGATGAAGTTTAAGTAACCACAACTAGGAAAACACAAAGGGAACCATAAGAAAAAGAAAATGAGTCATCAGACATAGGGGACCACTAATAGCTTTAACAGCTGACTTTAAAATCAGAAGTGATGGGGACCATGAGGCCTGATGCATTCAAAATGCTGAAAGAAAAAAAGTAAACCAAAAACTGTCAACCAGGTAGGTATTCAATATCCAGCAAAACTAGTCTTCCAAAGTGAAGGTGAAAAAATGGCATTCCCAGGTAAAACTTGAGATAATTTCTCCCTATCAGACTGTGTTATAAGAAATTCTAAAGCAAATCTTCAGACTGAAAGGAAGTAACACTAGATAATAATTTGTATCCATAGGAACAATTGAAGAGTGCTGGGAATAGTAAATATGTGGTAAATATAAAGGAGTTTTCAACATTGTTTTGTTGGATTTATAGGATGTACATGAAATATATATCTAATAATAGCACAAAGGAAGAGTTAGGAAAAGGACGTATATTGTAGTTTCTATTTGACTGAAATTAAGTATTATTGTGATGTAGATTGTGATAAATTAAGACACATAATCCCTAGAGCAGTTGCTAAGTTATTAAGAAGATAACTCCAAAAATTTAAATTAAAAAAAAGAGGAATTAAAATAGCATACTAAAAAATATCAAAATTTAAATTAAAAAAAAGAGGAATTAAAATAGCATACTAAAAAATATCACAAAGCAGGAAAGGAAGAATAAGTAAACAAACAAAGTTGTGACACAGGAATAGAAGCCTACACCGTTCATCCCTCCCACCCCTCACTGAAGTACCAAATTTTAACAACTATCTGAACAGAGAAAAACACCATTCACAGGAACCTAAAATCAGGTGAGCAATCACAGTACCGAGTTTTAAGTTCATAGCACCAAAAGAGGCATTGAGTAGGCCAGGAGAGACAGTCTTGAATTGCTGATGTTACTCCTCCATCCCCTGGCAGCAATTGTGTGGAGCACAGAGAGAATCTGTGCACTTTGAGGAAGAAGAACACAGCGATTGGGGAACTTTACACTGAACTCAGTACTGTCGTACCACAGTGAAGAATAAAGTCATACTGGCCTCAGCCAGTGCCTGTGCATGGAGGGAGCATTTGGACTAACCTTAGCCAGGGGAGAATCGCCCATTGCAGCAGTCAGAACTTTTTATTGGCAAACTTTAAAGAGAGAGAG